AGGCCCGTTCCGCAGTTTACGCCACGGGCTCCTGACTCTCGCACCCAGTGGCCCGTTCCCTGACTGCGCCAGTGGGCCGCTGAAAGGGCCCCTCACAGGCCCACTTAGAGGGCCACTTAGAGGGCCACTTAGAGGGCCACTTCGAGGGCCACTTCGAGGGCCACTTAAAGGGCCACTAAATGCGCCACTGGCCCTCCTGGTGGGCTCACTGTCAGACGCACTCCGGCTATTGTGGCTGGCGCGCCTGCACCTGCATCTGCTGCTGGGGCTGTAGCTGCTGCTGCTGCTGCTGCCTGCTGCACTGCTGTCCACGCCGCTGCTGTGGCGCGGACAGCACTGGTCGCTGCTGTAGCTGCTGCTGCTGCTCATGGTGCCGCTGTGGCTGCCCCAGTGACGCCGCCCTGCTACCTCCGATGACCGTTCCTGCCGCTCTTCCCCCGCCTGCTTCTGCTTCGCTTCCCCCGTCACCCCCCCCTTCTCATGGTCCCTCGCTCGCCATCTCTGCTGCTCCGGCCTCCTGTCTGGTCGGGCCGTCTTCTCACAGAGTGCGTTACGTGCCTCTTCCTCGATCCACTTCATTCCGCTCTGCAGCTGCAGTGCAGCGTTCGAGTCCACGGGGCCTTCTGTCCGCCCATCCCTCACCGCGGCCTCACCTCCCGCCTGTGACCCTGACTCCTCCTCGTCCTTCCCGGCCCTGCCAGTCAATCCCCAAAACGCACTGTGCAGCGAGTCTGGAGCCAGATCTGCATCAGTGCTCTCGCGGCCCTCCGCCCCACTGCCGACCATCGCAGCACCAGCAGCCGGACGCTCCTCCTCCTCCCTGCCGCCTTGCTCTTGCCCCGCTGGCGAATGGCCCCCCAGCAACAGATCAGCTTGCATCAGGTTATCTCGCATATGGTCTGCGTTCCCCCCATTCGCGCGCCACCTCTTGCTCCATCTCACTCCCTGCAGTCGCCACGTCCCCGTTACTGTGCTCTCCCATGGACGCGTTACTGTGCTCTCCCATGGACGCGTTACTGTGCTCTCCCATGGACGCGTTACTGTGCTCTCCCATGGACGCGTTACTGTGCTCTCCCGTGGAACCGTTGTGCATCCACTCGCCTCACTCCCTTCCGTTCCTACCAGGGCAGCATCGCTGTTTCCCCCCACCTCCTCTCCGCTCCCTCTCTCCCCCCTCTTTCTTTCGTCCTCGCCCTCCCCCACTCTTCTGTCGTCGTTCTGCTGCCCGCTACCCGCCCTGCTCGCCTCCTCATGTGCGCGGCATGGCCTGACGGCCCTGCTGTCTTCCACCTTCGTCTTCCCTTCCTTCCCACTCCCCCCCCCCCTTCCTTCTCTCTCTCCTCCCCCCCTTCCGTCTCGCTCCCCTCCTCCACATCCTCACCGCACCCTCGCTCTCCCCCCTCCTCCTCTCCCTCCTCTTCCCCTCCCTCTTCCTCCCATTCTTCCTCCTCCTCCTCCTCCTCCTCCTCCTCCTCCTCCTCCCGCCATCCCTCCTCGCCTTCCTCTTCACCTTCCTCGAGCTCCTCTTGGCTCTGCTCCTCCGTGACATCCCCTTTCTCCCACGCTTTCTCCTCGTCATCCCATTTCCCATCCTCCTCCTCCTCCCATTCCTCCTCCTCCACCTCCTGTCCGTTGCTCCCATCTTCCCCTCCCTCCTCCCCCCCACATACCTCTTCCTCTCCTTGCTCATCCTCCTCCTCCTCCTCCTCCACCTCCTCCCATTCATCTTCTTCCTCACTCTCCTCCTCCTCTGTTCCTCCTCCCTCTTCTTCTTCCTCTTCCCTCTTTCTCCTCCTCAGCGCCTCATTTGCTCCTCTGCACTCGCCTCTTTTGCCACTTTCGTCACTTCTGCCACTTCTGCTGCTTTTGCTTGGTTCGCTCACACCCATCTTCCTCGCAGTCTCCCACTCCTTCTCGCCAACTGTAAGAGTAACATCAGTAACTTCGCTCTCAAACGGCCGGAGCCCTTTCGACGAATTTCGTGACGCTTCCAGCAACCCCCTCGAGTCGTCCACGTCGCAGCCCTTCGCATCCCCGTTAACGGACGCCTCGGTAGAATAGCCCGGCGACTCCAGCTGAAAGTGCGAGCGGAATTCAATCGTACGGCTGTGATCGCTCCACTGGTCGGGGCTATCATGCCAGTGGACGGCCGGATCGGACGACGACGGTACCTGCTGTGAACAGGCATGGCACGCGCACGTGTGTCTCAACACGAGTACAGGACAAGCGGATGCGGTGAGTCGACACCGATCTAACAAAATGCATGCCACGGCGGCAGTAGGTTATCGAAATGGTTGCGGTGTTTCCAAAAAGAAGGGGGGGCTACTTGCAGGGGACACAAGGAGGGGGAAAGGGGGATAGCAAGGGAATTAAAGCAAATATAATTGGCGCGCTTTGCTAACCTCGCGCTCCTGTTGTCCGCGCCAACTGGCTGCTCGTCCGCTCTCGACCCCCCCCGACTCCCCAACCCTTGGTCGAACTCCCTCTTTGTCCTTCTCCTCACGCTCTACCCGTTCCGCTATCCCCCCTTTTCTTCCCCCCATCCCCCTCTCACCTGTCGCCTCCGCACGCCGCCACGCGCCAGCGCCACGGCGGCTTCGCGCTCCTTCACCGCCGCCAGCACCTCCCAGTGCGCGCGCCTGTCGAATCGAATCATTCGCTCCTTATCGAATCCATCCCCGCTAAGAGCGTTCTCCGCGGTCACTATATAGGTCCACCCCTTGCACAGCCGCTTAGACAAGCGAAGGCTCTTCTTCGCGTGGCCATGAAACAAGCCGGGAGTTGCGGCGCGCAGCGAGAGGGCGATCTCCAGTGGCTCAGACGCCGCGGAGCACGACAGCGTGGACCGAGACGATGATGACGTGGACGCGGGAATCATTGACATGGATGGGAAGGCTAGTGACGTGGATGCTGCGCGGAGGCAGTACGGCAGCACGCGCCTGAGAGCCTGCTCTACTGTGAGGCGGGCAGCGAGGGAGAGTTGCATGCCATCGGGCAGAATAATAATTGCTTCAGCTGCCCGGCTGTCGGCCGCTGTACGCCAGGGCCACATGGTGGCGAAATAACAGATTTATTTGGCTTCAGTCGGTTCGAAACAAAGGCGAGGCACGACAAGGTGTGAAGTAGGTGGCACCGGACAAATGCCGTAGGTGGCCTGACTAATAACCTGCTTGTGCCGTCGCAATAACCTACTAGTGCCGTCGCAATAACCTACTAGTGCCGTCGCAATAACCTACTTGTACCATCGCAATAACCGACTAATGCCGTCGCAATATCCTACTTGTGCCATCGCAATAACCTACTAGTGCCGTCGCAATAACCTACCAAGTCATTTCACCAGAAATTCGCAAGACGTGGTGCGGGCACAGCGAGATACGAACTCAGTTGGCAACACCTGTCGTGTGCTCCAAGGTCAAACGGATTCTAAAAGGTGGCGACGCGCTACGAGACGCTAGCGGCCAGCAAGATTCTCCTAATCAAATGACTGGCTTCAAGGCAGCCGATTCTTGGTGCCTCCCTCGTCCCTCGTCCCTCGTCTCCCTCACGCAGCCTCGACACCCCAGTACCTGCGTTCTGCGCCTGCGGCACGAGGAACATGTAAGACTGGGGGGCACTGGGACTGTTGTGGCTACACCACCACGGAATTTCCTGCTCCTCCTGCGTTTCGTCCGCAAGAATGTACCTCGTGGCGGGCAGTGAGCCCTGTTGCTCCATTCACTCCCCAGCCCTTTCCACTGGGGGGGAATTTCCCCCCCGCCCTCCATCTCATCCTTCCTTCCTCCCCCTGGGTTCTGGCAAATGTCAAATGAGATGTGCAGGACGCCGAGTCGGCCACAAGTACGGAACATGCGGCCTGTCCTACTGACGAATCGCGTACATAACGGCTCAAATATTCGCGGGCCCCAAAATTTGATAACTACATCTCAAAAGCCCTACCTTAACGTTACGAAAAAATAGAGCCTTTTAATTACGTGGCAACTAGGGCCTCGGATTGGTGTTTTTCCCTCGACAATAATTAATATCTTGAAGACATTCGCTAGAATTTACACGGGAAAACATCAGAGTAGACTCTTATTTTTTAACTAAACAATAAGTGATTCCCTAAAAAAAGGCTCTCATATGCCTTTTTATGTAAAATTATACAGTTAATATAGAAGTCAGCAACATGTTTAGGGTGGCCAGGATTTAGATTTGGTGTAACCACGAGTAAAAATCAGCGGACGGATTTACACCTTGCATTGGAAATGTATGAAATGACAAGGATAATAATAATGAGTAATAAATGCATATTTCTAGTTTAGAAAGTACCTATTCGGAATGTATCTGTTCGTAGTGTATCGCGACTATTCGTGTGACATGACTAGTGACGGTTCGTGTTACTAAGAGTTGTGTGACCCTTGTGGTGACTATAAGCACGAACCTACGGTTCACGCGTTGACTCGCTACTGCTGACGTCATCATGCCCGTCCTTCCATATAAGGGATCGCGCTACTAGTAAAGTCTAACTATGATATAAGGAATGCATAAGTGATAACATTTTCGAATATTATTCACACTCCCCTTCATTCCTGAGTGTATGTCTCAGGGTAAGTGTCACATCGTTTGCAGATTCCAACCTGGTTGGAGCAGTACTGGAACTTGCCGCGTGGGAGTTTCTTCTTCAGGAAATCAGCCGCCATTTCTTCTCTAAGGCAGTATTTCAAGATGACCTTCCCTTTTTCGATTTCGTCCTTGATGAAGAAGTAACGGAGGGTGATGTGTTTTGTCCTGTTGACGAAGCCGAGTTTGTTTGCAATTTTGATTGCACTCTAATTGTCGTAGAGTAACTTGAAGTTATGGGTCGTTGCAATTTTCGCCTCTTGCAGTAACTCTTGAAGATAGAGTCCTTCGCGAACGGCTGAGCTTGCTGCGACGAATTCTACTTCGGCTGACGAAAGTGCGATGACTTCCTGTTCTGTTGAGTTCCAAGAAAAAACACCACCCGGTTCAAGTTTGAAGATAAACCCTGTACGCGAACACCTGTTGTCGGGGTCAGTAGCATGATCCGCGTCAACGTATCCAGTCATTTGAAAACTTGTTGCAAAGTTTGTCGTGTAGCTGATGACAATTGTAGGAGTAGGAATGAAATATTGGAGGGCTCGACACAAATCGGCCATATTCTCCCCTTCAGGTCGGCGCATGTGCTATGCGAGCTGACTCGTGATGTAGGCAAGATCTGGGCAGCATGTAACAGCTGCAAATAGCAGCTGCTGCTGGTAAAGCTGATGCTCGGAGGCGGTAATTGGGGTAGTATCAGGTGTGTGCTCGGCTGGAATATGACAAAATGGAGTGGTGAGGCCGATGGGAGCGATGACGAACTTTTTCCCAAGTGGTTCTGCGTACTTGCTTGCAGAAAGGCAGATGGCATCGGGGTCGCAGTCAACGTTTAACCCAAGAAATTGGGTGAAGTTCAGAGAAATAGTAACTTCAAGAATCGTTTTGCTTCTTTCCTTCATGCATGCCGAAAGACTGTTGCACGAGCCGGTGTACAGTAAGTCATCCACATAGGCGACTAGAAGAATGTAATGCCCACGAAATTTGAGTCTGTACATTCCAGGGTCGTGGGGAAGATGCACAAAGTCGAGTGAAATCAGGACCTTGTGAAGATGCTACTGCCACAAGCGAGGAGCCTATTTGATGTCGTAGAGTGATTGAAGTAACTTGCAGATGTGGAGTCTGTCGCCGTAAATGTGAGGGATTTCGACGAAAATATCTACATCGATGTCTGCGTATAAAAACACATTCTTAACGTCTAGTTGGCGAAGTGGCTGATGGCGGCTAGCAGCAATGGCAAGAAAAAATCGAACTAAGGTATGGCGGCTGACCATAGCAAAAGACCGGTCGTACTCGATACCATGGGTTTGTTCAAAACCTCGAACGACCCATCTCCCTTTGAATCTATATGGTTTGCCTGATGCGTTTGTCTTTATGTGAAAGTCCCACTTGCCCGAAAGAAAATTTCTTCCCGCATGCAGCTTCGCGTAGAACGAGTTTCCACGTTTTCTGCTTCTCGAGAGCTGCTACCTCTGCATCCATAGGTGCTCACGACTTGTCAGCATTAGAGTCGGAGAGGGTATCCTTGACTGTATTTGGCTCGATCCCAGCCGTTGGTTGCTGAACTGCGACAGCAAGGCCAAGAATCTGAAGAGCCGATTGGTCACAACGAGGATGCTGTTGGCAAACTTCGACGACGTCATCGTCGTCAATTTCGGATAGCAGATGGCGGGCACCGTCATGTGATAATGCATCAGTTTTCTGTCGGTGCAGGTGCTCCTCATAATTATAGACAGCATGTGTCGTGGCAGGACGCAACGGCTCCAAGAGGGGGATGAAGAGCAGGGTGTCTGTGTTGTTGGCACATGTCGAATGAATATATGATTCGAACAGTGTTGCGTCACAGGAGGAAGGACCAGGTGCAGCTGCTAACGTAGACGGCTGCGGAATTGTAGAAGGTCCTGTTGCAGCGTTGTTGGGCAGATCATATTCTTTGGCTAGTCTTGAGGGGTGGCGAAAATCCGTTCTGCACTGTAGCGATCAGGATCCCGCGCTGCATTCCTTGTCGCGTTCGAAGTCATCGAGAAAAATTTTTCGTAGAAGATGCAGTCTCGGCATAGAAAACCGCGTTCCATAATCCATAATTATCAAAGAGTAGCATTCCTTGGGTACACCAACATGTATTCCCCATAGAGCCCTTTCAGTAAATCTGCCACAGTTGCGCTCGGAGGTCTTTATTGGACCATGCCGCCCCAAACTCGTAATAATCGAGTGTCGGCGGGGTGTTTGTCCACATGACGTGTGCGAGCAGAACTGAGGGACAGCTATTTAAGATAGGTCGTTGTGTAGTATGACAGCTTGCGCCATCGCAAACGGCCGAAAGTCTGCTGTCAAGCTAGACTGTTGCAGCAGCACGCGCATCTTCTCTTACAATGTTTGTTCGTCTCTCAGCTTCTCCATTCTGCTGACGGGCGTAAGGAGCAGTCTTGCGCCTCATAATCCCTTTCAGCGCCAGGAATTCATCGAACTGCTCACTAGTGTACTTGCCCGTAGAAATTCATTGTCTGTCTGGATCTCTTTCAGCTTGATGCCGCTCTGCCGCTCCGCGATTTTCAGCCATATCTTGAAGGCGTCGAGAGCTTACGAATTATGAAAGATATTCTTGTGCCAGGCGTATGGAGTGGCACTGTTGCTGAAGGTAATTATATAGCAGTACTCGTTGCCACTGATATCCTTTGCTTCCTGCGACATGAAGAGTATGTCTGTCACACGATCGAATGAGGTTTGCTCAATATTGCCCAATTTATGAGTACAAGGTGCTTTTATACTTCCAAAGTACATCAGGTAACCAAGTTTATCCTATCCAAAGAGAATAGACCTTTCTAGAAATAGAATCACCCTGCGTATAGCCACGCGAGGCTATTGGCTTTAAGGGATTATGGCAGGATTACGCTAGATATAACGCGCCAGTACATCCCGAGGCTGGTCGGTGATATAATAATAATAACATGATAAACCAAAGGATAATGGAAAAGGAGGAGTAGGAAACCAAATGAGATGAGATAAAGACCAAATGAATCAGGATAAAAAGAGGAATGAATGGAAAGGAAATATGGAAAGGAGAAATTGGTGTAATGGTGTCGTACTCTCACAATGTCGCTGAAAACGACATCCATAAGCGAGTACTGTCAGCTCCTGTTACGAAGTAGTATCTCCCTGGCTTTGACGAGACGGGTTAACTGTGTTTTCGTTGTGTGCGAAATCTGCTCCTTCGCAGCAACTTGAACTCGGGAGCTTTGCATGAGAAAACGGCTACTTCTCTGCAATCCCATAGGTTGTCGATAAATTTATATGAAGAAGTGTCTCATGAATGGAGAACATGTCTTCACGGAGCTCCATTGCTTTTCCTGGGTGAAGATCTCGCTGTGTTGATGTCGATCCATTTTTAACGAAGATGACTTCGTCAAAATAAATCGATCGTGATCGACACTAGTTAGACGATGCGTCGATTGTGCAGTCCCTGGTTACGAATGTTGTCTCAATGATGATGATTTTCCATAGTGTAATCACCGCTGTATTCGTGCCGTTGATTCCGCACCGATCCGACGATCCACGCTCTCCTGTCAGTTTTCTGCTTGCAGCTATTAGCAAGTAGGTAATACTTTGGCAGATTTCTGACTCTGCAGATGATTTGCACGCCAAATTCGTGACAAAAAAAGAAATCAGAATTTGGTTGTCCAGATAATGTGAGCGGTGTCGAAGGCGGCTGTTTGTTTTGTTCTGCGTGCCATTCTCCCTTTGTGCTGAAGTCGCTCTCCATCTCGTCCGTTGAAGCAGAAGTCGATCCGACGGTCCAAAATCCAAGCGATCTGAAGGTATTCCTGAGTCACGTTCAGCAGCTTTCGGTGCCTGTGTGGACTCGTTTTCTGCAGCAATTCTTGGTCGTCGATGTCGGCTGTCGAACGATCGGACGCTCCGAAGAATTTCGCGGCTTGCGAGGTCTCGTTCCCATTCGCGCTGTAACTCGAACTCGCTCAGAAGGATTTCGTTTTTCTCGGTCGATCTGAAGCGTCGAATCTCCATCGGACAGATGTCGTTGGTCGAAGCTCCGCACATTTCCGCACATCTCCAAGAGTCGTGGCGAACTGCGAACTTCTCGGAATGTCGCAGGGAGTGTTCCGCCAGAACTGACGCGTTCGCAAGGTCGATACCGTTTGCCCCTGCGAAAAAATCGACTGCGTCGATGCAGTCCATCGAACGGTTGGCAAGGCATGTCGCCTTCGTAGGGGACCCCAGGTGCAAGTGCACGAGGTTAGTTGAAACTTAAAGCCCAGGTCCCAAGTTACAAGGCGCGAGCATTTTTGTTAACAATTTATGTGGGGGTCTGAGTGGTTACCCTGTACAAATTAGGAACAGTGAACAAGTGGGGGGAGGATGGAGAAGGGAAGCTTGTGATTGGACGCTGGGGGAAAACGGGTTTCGCCAACCCCAGCACAGACTCCAACCAAGGGAGGAAAGCGCCAAGGGGAAGAACCGAAGCTTGCAATTTGGGACTACCATAAACCATTTTGTTTACAAAATGGAGTCATGCGTAGCATTTCCCGGCCTCCTCGCTAGCATAGTCCTCTCGTGTACCGTAATCTGGCTAGCTTGCCATGACGCGTCGTGTAGCATCCCGCTCCCCACAGCCCGCTACCCTAATTCTAGGCAGTTGGGTTTAGGAAAATTCTAAAAAACCGTACGATGCACTGGCGCCCACGCGTAAATTCCCGCTTCCGCCTCTAGCTGCGCCGAGCTGCCTGCAGCCGCCCATTACCCGCTCTCCCCCGCCCTCGGCGCTAGCTGGCTGCAAAGGGGAACACACTTTCCGCTTTTCCCCGCTTCGAGCCCGCGCGACCCGCCGTCCCCGCATAGCTCTTCTCAACCCCGCGGCCACGCCGTCTCACGCTGCGTCCCACAGCAAGTACCCGAGCAGGGAGAAAGAGAGGCGATCGAGCGGTGATGGAGAGAGGCGATCGAACGGAGATGGAGAGAGGCGATGAATCAGGGAGTTCGAGAGGCGATAGAGCAGGGAGGGAAAGAGGCGAAACAGAAGGGAGGGGGAGAGCCAATACAGCAGGAAGGGAGTGAGTGAGGCGCAAGAGCAGGGAGGGATAGGCGATACAGCAGGGCGGAAAGGAGGCGATAGAGCAGGGAGGGATAGGCGATACAGCAGGGCGGAAAGGAGGCGATAGAGCAGGGAGGACGAGAGGCGATAGAGCAGGGAGGACGAGAGGCGATAGAGCAGGGAGGAACAGAGGCGGAGGAAAGCAAGGAGGGGGAGAGGAGAGAGAGGGGGGGGGGGGGGGGGGGAATGAGGTGAACTGCGGAAAGGAGGGAGGGAGGAGAGAGAGGGGGGAGGATTGAGGTGAGCTGCGGAGATGAGGGGGAGACATGAGAGTTGAGAGGCGCCATAAGACGGACCGGTCTGCGGCTCGGGCGGCAGACCAGGAGAGCGGAGTGAGAGCAGGGGAGGGACCTGGGGCATGAGAGTGCCCTCAGAGAAGGGGGGTTCGAGCAGGGGAGGGGTAGTGGAGTGAGAGCAGGGGAAAGGGAGAGGAGTGAGATCATGGGATGTGAAAGGAGTGAACACAGGGGAGGGGGAGATGAGTGAGAGCAGGGGAGGGGGAGATGAGTGAGAGCAGGGGAGGGGGAGATGAGTGAGAGCAAGGGAGGGGGAGATGAGTGAGAGCAGGGGAGGGGGAGATGAGTGAGAGCAGGGGAGGGGGAGATGAGTGAGAGCAGGGGGGGGAGGAGATAGAGCAAGGGAGGGGGAGATGATTGAGAGCAGGGGAGGGGGAGATGAGTGAGAGCAAGGGAGGGGGAGATGAGTGAGAGCAGGGGAGGGGGAGATGAGTGAGAGCAGGGGAGGGGGAGATGAGTGAGAGCAAGGGAGGGGGAGATGAATGAGAGCAGGGGAGGGGGAGATGAGTGAGAGCAGGGGAGGGGGAGATGAGTGAGAGCAGGGGAGGGGGAGATGAGTGAGAGCAGGGGAGGGGGAGATGAGTGAGAGCAGGGGAGGGGGAGATGAGTGAGAGCAAGGGAGGGGGAGAGGAGATAGAGCAAGGGAGGGGGAGATGATTGAGAGCAGGGGAGGGGGAGATGAGTGAGAGCAGGGAAGGGGGAGATGAGTGAGAGCAGGGGAGGGGGAGATGAGTGAGAGCAGGGAAGGGGGAGATGAGTGAGAGCAAGGGAGGGGGAGATGAGTGAGAGCAGGGGAGGGGGAGATGAGTGAGAGCAGGGGAGGGGGAGATGAGTGAGAGCAGGGGAGGGGGAGATGAGTGAGAGCAAGGGAGGGGGAGAGGAGATAGAGCAAGGGAGGGGGAGATGATTGAGAGCAGGGGAGGGGGAGATGAGTGAGAGCAAGGGAGGGGGAGATGAGTGAGAGCAGGGGAGGGGGAGATGAGTGAGAGCAAGGGAGGGGGAGATGAGTGAGAGCAGGGGAGGGGGAGATGAGTGAGAGCAGGGGAGGGGGAGATGAGTGAGACCAGAGAGAGCTGGTGGGAAGAGAGGCGAGAGAGCAGGGAGAACGAGAGGAGAGATAGGGGGGCGGAAGAAGGGAGAGGGAAGGGGAGGAAGAGAAGCGAGAGAGGGGGGCAGAAGAGAGGCTCGGGAGGAGGGAGGAAGAGAGGCGAAGCAGCAGGGAAGAGAGCGGGGCGTGAGAGAGGGAGAAAGGCGAGAGGGCAGGAACATGGAAGAGAGGAGTGAGAGCAACGGGATCGTGAGGAGTGAGGGCAGGGGAGGGAGACAGGCGTCAGAGTGCAGGGAGAGTGAGGGGAGCAGGAGAGGGGTAGTGGATTGAGAGCAGGGGAGGGGGAGAGGAGGGAGACATGGGAGGGGGAGAGGAGGGAGAGCAGGGATGGGTGAGATGCGCGAGAGCAAGGGAGGGGAAACGGCAGGAGTGCGCGGGAGGGAGTGAGTGAGCAGGGAGGGAGTGAGTGAGGCATGAGGGCAGGGAAGGAGTGAGTGAGGCATGAGAGCAGGGAGGGAGAGAGAGAAAAGTGCAAGGAGGGAGAGAGAAAGGAGTGCAGGGAGGGAGAGAGAGAAGAGAGCAGGGAGGGAGAGAGAAAGCAGTGCAGGGAGGGATAGACCAGGGTGCAGGGAGGGAGCGGGTCCCCGCCATTGGGGGAAGGAGAGGAGGTGGCTCGTGAGAGTCACTTTGTCCCCCTGTCACAGCTATGTCTTCATTCCACCAAACCCCTCTTGTCCCAATGTCTACAGGTAGCCCACGGCCCATGAGGAAGGAGGGAATAGTTGTGGCGCACCCGGTCACATGGGGGAACTTAGTCAACCTGCAGTTAAATTTGCGAGAACACCAGAGTTATTGGCTGTAAGGTTGCTTGCCGTTTCCAAGCTTTTCAAAGCAGGTCAGACGATAAACAACCAGTAGGCATCTGACTGCTCTTAGCTTGTTATAACCATTGACTTCTGCGTGTATGCTTATAGATCCTAGCCACCACATAGATCCTCGTAGCTACAGCCATAGGCCCCCTGAAGCATGTATCTTATTCTTACGCCCCAGTCTATTGCTCATCCACATTTGGCCCTAGTCTGATAAGTATCGGGGGTGATCCAAGGAAATGAATCCTGATTGTAGCTCCCCATTGGGAGTGAGCCACATAGCAGTGGGAAAGCCGAACGCCAGGGCCAGGCCATCGTTGCATTCTTGCTCCCTGCTCACCGTCTGGCCATCAGCCAAACCACACGCTCACCGCCCCACGCCCTCCTGGTCCATGCTGTCCTGCCTCTCTCCCTCCCTGCTGTCCTGCCTCTCTCCCTCCCTGCCGTCCTGCCTCTCTCCCTCCCTGCTGTCCTGCCTCTCTCCCTCCCTGATGTCCTGCCTCTCTCCCTCCCTACTGTCCTGCCTCTCTCCCTCCCTGCTGTCCTACCTCTCTCCTCCCTGCTGTCCTGCCTCTCTCCTCCCTGCTGTCCTGCCTCTCTCCCTCCCTGCCGTCCTGCCTCTCCCCTCCCTGCTGTCCTGCCTTTCTCCCTCCCTGCTGTCCTGCCTCTCTCCCTCCCTGTTATCCTGCCCTCTCCCTCCCGCCGTCCTGCCTCTCCCCTCCCTGCTGTCCTCCTCCTCTCCCTCCCTGCTGTCCTGCTCTCTCCTCCTCCCTGCCTCTCTCCCTCCCTGCCTGTCCCTGCCCTCCCCCTCCCTGCCCTGCCTCTCTCCCCCCCCCCCCCCCCCCCTGTCCTGCCTCTCTCCCTCCCTGCCGCCTCTCCCCCCCCCCCCTCCCCCCCCTGCCCCTCTCCCTCCCCTGCCCTGCCTCCCCTCCCCCCCCCCTCTCCCCCCCTGCCTCCTCCTCCCCCCGCTGTCCTGCCTCCTCCCCCCCCCCCCCCCCCCCCTGCCCCCCCCTCCCCTCCCCCCCCCCTCCCCCCCGCTGTCCTGCCTCCTCCCCCCTGCCCTCTCCCCCCTCTTCCTGCCTCTCCCCTCCCTGGCTGTCCTGCCTCTCTCCCTCCCTGCTGTCCTGCCTCTCTCCCTCCCTGCCTCCCTCTTCCCTGCCCCTCCCCTGCCTGCTCTCTCCCTCCCTGCTGTCCTGCTCTCTCTTCTCCTCTTCCTGCTGTCTCCTCTGTCCTGCCTCTCCCTCCCTGCCCCTCCTTCCTGCTCCTGTCTCCCCCCCTGCCCCTCCTCTCCTGCCTCTCCCTCCCCTGCCTGTCCTGCCTCCTCCTTCTCCCTCCCTGCTGTCCTGTCTCTCTCTCTCCCTCCCCCTGCTGTCCTGCCTCTCTCCCTCCCTGCTGTTTCCTGCTCTGCCTCTCTCCTGTCCTGTCCTGCCTCTCTCCCTCCCTGCCGTCCTGCCTCTCTCCCTCCCTGCTGTCCTGCCTCTCTCCCTCCCTGCTGTCCTGCCTCTCTCCCTCCCTGCTGTCCTGCCTCTCTCCCTCCCTGCTGTCCTGCCTCTCTCCCTCCCTGCTGTCCTGCCTCTCTCCCTCCCTGCTGTCCTGCCTTTCTCCCTCCCTGCTGTCCTGCCTCTCTCCCTCCCTGCTGTCCTGCCTCTCTCCCTCCCTGCCGTCCTGCCTCTCTCCCTCCCTGCCGTCCTGCCTCTCTCCCTCCCTGCTGTCCTGCCTCTCTCCCTCCCTGCTGTCCTGACTCTCTCCCTCCCTGCTATCCTGCCTCTCTCCCTCCCTGCTGTCCTGCCTCTCTCCCCCCTGCTGTCCTGCCTCTCTCCCTCCCTGCTGTCCTGCCTTTCTCCCTCCCTGCTGTCTGTGCCTCTCTCTCCTCCCTGCTGTCCTGCCTCTCTCCCTCCCTGCCGTCCTGCCTCTCTCCCTCCCTGCCGTCCTGCCTCTCTCCCTCCCTGCTGTCCTGTCTCTCTCCCTCCCTGCTGTCCTGCCTCTCTCCCTCCCTACTTTCCTGACTCTCTCCCTCCCTATTGTCCTGCTCTCTCCCTCCCTGCCGTCCTGCCTCTCTCCCCCCTGCTGTCCTGCCTCTCTCCCTCCCTGCTGTCCTGCCTCTCTCCCTCCCTGCTGTCCTGCCTCTCTCCCTCCCTGCTGTCCTGCCTCTCTCCCTCCCTGCTGTCCTGCCTCTCTCCCTCCCTGCTGTCCTGCCTCTCTCCCTCCCTGCTGTCCTGCCTCTCTCCCTCCCTGCTGTCCTGCCTTTCTCCCTCCCTGCTGTCCTGCTCTCTCCCTCCCTGCTATCCTGCCTCTCTCCCTCCCTGCTGTCCTGCCTCTCTCCCTCCCTGCTGTCCTGCCTCTCTCCCTCCCTGCTGTCATGCCTTTCTCCCTCCCTGCCGTCCTCCCTCTCTCCCTCCCTGCCGTCGCCTCCTCCCTCCTGCCTCTCTCCCTCCCTGCTGTCCTGCCTCTCTCCCTCCCTGCTGTCCTGCCTCTCTCCCTCCCTGCTGTCCTGCCTCTCTCCCTCCCTCTTTCCTGCTCTCTCCCTCCCTCTTCCTGCCTCTCTCCCTCCCTGCTGTCCTGCCTCTCTCCCTCCCTGCTGTCCTGCCTCTCTCCCTCCCTGCGTCCTGCCTCTCCCTCCCTGCGTCCTGCTCTCTCCTCCCTGCTTCCTGCTCTCTCCTCCCTCTTCCTGCCTCTCTCCCTCCCTCTTCCTCTCTCCCCTCCCTCTGTCCTGCCTCTCTCCCTCCCTGCTGTCCTGCCTCTCTCCCTCCCTGCTGTCCTGCCTCTCTCCCTCCCTGCTGTCCTGCCTCTCTCCCTCCCTGCTGTGGGACAGGGGGGGTAACAGGAAGGGGGCGCATAGGGGAGGTGAGGGACAGGGGGGAGGAAAGGAAGGGGGAGCATAGGGGAGGTGTAGGGAGGGGGATCACATGGCAGACGGAGTGGAGAGCATGGCAGATTATTGGCGGGATATCGAATGAGAGGGGAGCATGGCAAAACAGGGGGGAGCTAGGCAGATGGGGGGGAGGGGGGGGGGAGATGAAGGGGGAGCATGGCAGATCAGGGGGGAAGTTAGGCGATAAGGGATGAGAGTTAGGGGAGTAGGGGGGATAAGGGATGAGAGTTAGGGGAGGGAATAAAGATATGGAGTGGGGGGAGATAAGGGAAGGGAGTGGGGGGAATCAGGGTAGGTAGTGGGGGGAATATGGGATGGGGGAATGATGGTACTAGGGAGTTGTGGGAACAAGGGAATGGTATGGGGGGGATATGAGAGACGGATCACTCTTCATGGCTTTGGCACCCATGGGTCCGCCCCATCTCAGCCTCTATCCTTCCTTCAGCACCTCTCTCCTTCCTTCCGCACCTCTCTCCTTCCTTCTGCAGCTCTCCTCTTCCCTTCCACATTCCGCTAGATCTTCTAGGTGGGTACAGGCAGGGGCACGGGAACACGTTTCTCTCTCTCCTACCCGCAACTCTCGAACCCCTAGTCTCTGGCTTCGGTTTGCGTCTTTCGCGCGGTGCAAAATCGACTCACTGTGGTACTAGTAACTGGCGACACTAAGCGCGAATGGATGTAGAGCTGGGAAGATTCTGGCTCGCATATACCGTGTGGAAAGCGACACATATCTGTGCGGAGTCGGGCGCCTTTTTTCAGCAGCGCTTCTGCCGTTCTTCGTGTATGTTATTTGGTTTCAATGCCCCTAGCGCGTTTGCCGCTGGGCACAATCTGGTGCTTGCCTGGTGGTTTTGTGTGTGGCGATTTTGTGACGCGTTTTTGCTTGCAAGGAGGTCCCAGGTTTGGCGAAGGTTTTTCTGTTTGCGAAGGGGCAGGTCGGTTCGCAATTCCAATTTTGAATATCTGGTTCCTCGTCATTTTCGCAGCCAATCGCAAACTTTTCGCCCTCTCCCGAGCCGCGCACTGCAAAACTGCTTTTCGCCGCTTGCAACTTGGGATCTGGGCTTTAATATGAAAGAGCATTGTACTTTTAGGAATTAAAGTTTCAACTCCATCCTCGGCGTGCTCATGGGGGCCCATCGGTTAAGCGTTGAGCTGAAACCTTGGCTGTGATACCAAGTGTTACAGGATCGAATGAGGTTTGCTCAATGTTGCCCTATCCATGAGTACAATGTGCTTTTATACTTCCAAAGTACATCAGGTAACCAGGTTTATCATATCCAAAGAGAATAGACCCTTCTAGAAATAGAATCACCCTGCGTATAGCTACGCGATGTTATTGGCTTTTAAAGCCCGTGGCTATAATAGCAATCAAGAGGGCTGTTTAATTTGCTCTTGAACTTGGCGCATGACTTGATCTTTAGAGTAAACGAAGCGAATAGAAACATTTCGTTTTGCAAAGCGGAATCTGACCGTGGCGGTTTGGCGACAATTTTTGCACGAAACCATTCGGTGAACAGTGCAATACGCGTCGTGCGACCGAATTCGTGGTTCCGTGAACAGTGAAAATGCGAGAAGAAGAGTGTTTTTTTTGGCGAACAGTAGCTAGCTGATTCCGGAATTGCAGACATGGAAATCACTTGAATTCCCCACTCATAATGCGCCTGAATTTCCTCGTCGCAAGCTGCTCGCCCAAACCCGTCGTAAAAACTCCGTGCGATGCACACGGTGTTTTTGCGCAATTCGCATCCAAATGATCGTGTCGCAACAAACAGCAAAACGAGTTCTTTCGCCATTCCTCCAATCAGCAAGCTCGACCAGAATTTGTTTCTACACACTTTTCTTGTTCAGGCTTGGAACTCAAAGCTGCCTTCCATTCTATACTTAGACGGATTTCAAAGCACCAAATTCAAGTGGTTTCCAGGTCTGCTATTATAGCCAAGGGCTTTAAGGGATTATGGCAGGATTACGCTAGATATAGCGCGCCAGTACATCCCGAGCCTGGTTGGTGATATGATCATAATAACATGATAAACCAAATGACAATGGAAAATGAGGAGTAGGAAACCAAATGAGATGAGATAAAGACCAAATGAATCAGGATTAAAAAGAGGAATGAAATGGAAAGGAAATATGGAAAGGGGAAATTGGTGTAACGGCGTCGTACTCTCACAATGTCGCTGAAAACGACATCCATAAGCGAGTACTTAGTAACACTCGGAAAGTGTGACGCGAACGGAGCGTGACTCAGGTGAGCTTTAGGGCAGATGGTGCACGGTGGTTGGCGACTGTTGGGTCGAAGCTCTTGGCCGTTCATTAAAAAAAGAGCGTCCTTGTCAAAACCAGGCTTTATTACCGTAAACGCCCGGATAGAAGACCCCCATGGAATAGAAGACACTATGTCTTGTATTAGGCGTCTATCTTGTATTCAGCCGCTCCGTTTACAAGACACACTTTTTAAGTCAGTATGAGACCCAAGTGACGTACACTCCCTAAAACCCCGGTTAGCGCTTTCTGCCCACCCAAAAAGGGCTCCGTTTATAAGATTTTTTTCCATTTATAAGAGACCCGGACCCCCTGATTTTTTCGGTTTATAAGAATCTCACCACTTTCTTGCCCGGTATATGATAAGACATAATGGTCTTCTATCCGGGCGTTTACGGTAGAATTTTTAAGAGCTTCTTGCGAGTTATGACCTAACCATTTGTGCCAGATTTCTACTTTAGTCCTGTGTCCCTTTGGCGCATGGTTAACCCAGTGGCCGGTGCCAAAAGGCTGGATGAATTCGGCTTCTTCCGCAGTTTCAGCCCAAGGTATGCCGAGATGTCGGCGACGCGCCCAAGCATCGGGTACTATTAACGCTTTCTTGCCCCATGTGCGTTCAACCTCCATATGTTCTTCGACTGTAGCAGATGTCGGTTCTTGGATTTTGTAACAACAATTTCCATCTCCAGATGCCCATATTGCTTGACCTCTTTCTGCTGCTGCTGATGCGGCTTCTGTTAGCTATGCTGTAGGTTCGTCAAGGGAGTTGGTGCGAGAAGGCTGAGGCATGACGTAGAAGACATTTAGACCACGATGGTACCGTAATCCCCCGGATATAACACCCCGGGTATACTACAAAATTCATGCTAAAAAGGGGGGGTGGGTGCTCTATTTCGCGTTTAGGCTATAGCACCCTGGTGTTATATTTGAGGATGAAATTTTTTAAAGGTGCATTCTGATCTCTGTACATTCAGCTATCCAACCGTCTTATTTTGGGCTCGATCGGTCATCAAATGTGCGCGATCTGAAGGTTGGAAGTGCGCCAAAGGGTTAAGCCCGTTACAGTGAGCCATGCAGCTGGAATCCAGTAGAGGACCACAGCACGAAACTCTCTCACGCGCGGGACACCTCTGCTGTCACTTGGCGACGTCGCGTTGCCTCGGGCGACACGTTGAACGTGTCGCCCGCCAATGCCGTGACACTTAGGCAAGGGGGCCTCAGCAGCGGTATTTCTAGGCGAACCGTTGCGAACAGGCCTCTGTATGTATCCCTTTCTCTCTCAACCTTTTCTCCCAAGCGCATGGCGAACGCTGGAATCCGCGGTTCTCTTCAGCCGTAGAGCAGCTAAAAATGCTAGCACCCCTAGCCATGTCACGCATACCGCAGGTTCTCCTTCTAGCCACGCAGCACCAGTAGTGCAACCGTCCGCTACGGGGTGGTTGCGTCGTGGCTACGTAGCGGCGGACGATGATACTTACGATGGCATGGCGGAGCTTGGCGGTGACGAGGCTGCAGCCGACGACGAGAACAATGAGGATGTGGACGAAGAGGAGGAGTACGCTGACGAGGCAGCAGCAGCTGCTGTCGCTGCAGCAGATCCATTCGACGACGAGGATCCGTGGGCTATGCCCGATGTCGCGGTTCCATCCTTCCCGTCGTCCAGTGAGCCGTCGACCGAGCCTGAGTCCGTCAATCATGATGCGAGACCACCGTCGCCTCATGCCAGGCTGTCGGGCAACAAGCGGCGATCCATCAGCGAGCGCGAGAAGCTGATGTGGATATCCATGTTCGAGACGCATCCAGCTCCGTCGCAGCGGATGGTCGCACGCATGGCAAGGGTGCAGCCGGTCATGACCCGCGAGTGGCGGAAGGCACAAGAACAGCTGAAAGGAGCGGCGCCTAGTCGGAAGCGTCTTCGTGGAGCCGGCCGGAAATCCAAGTACCCCGACATGGAGCGGGCCGTCTTCTGCCGCTATCTCTGCGCACGGCAACGCGGTCTACCCGTGTCAGTGGGGCTGATTCAGACCTGGAGCCGCGACTGGATGCGCGACCACTTTGCCACCGTCGACTGGAGGGCGTCGTCGCGGTGGTCATTTCGTTTCCGCCGTCGATGGGGCCTCACCGTGCGGGTTAAGACGAAGATGGGGCAGAAGCTTCCCGCTGGTAAGCTCCCCCGCCCCTCACTCATGTCTAGTGCTGCATACCCTTTGCCCTCTGGCTGAGTCTTAAGATGGCTTCTGTGTCTCTTCCTCCTCTTTTGCTTGTCAGATTGTGCGCCCAAATGCGAGCGCTCCTGGCAGTTTGTTCGTCAGATGACGGTCAAGCGGCAGATTGCGCCCAAGAACGTGATTAACGCGGATCAAACTCCGCTGTATCTTGAGATGCCACTCGAGCGGACCCTCGAGCGTCGTGGCACCCGCACCGTCCACGTCCGTACCGCGGGGTACGAGAAGGAACGGGTGACCGTGATGCTTGCATGCACGGCCACCGGGGAGAAACTGCCGGCCTATGTCGTGTTCAAGCGGAAGAACCCGCCGAACTGCTACACTCCCACGGGTATGTTCTGTCCCATGATACGCGTCCATGAATTCGCTATGGTTTTTAAAAACCAGCGTCGAAATGTTTTGGCAGGCAACTAAATACGTGCAAACAACCCCCCTTCCCCCCTCCCCTAATTCAGACGTGGTGGTGCGCGCCCAGCCAAAGGGCTGGGTGGACGAGCGCCTCGTCCAGGACTGGACAAGGAAGGTCGTGGTGCCCTTCCTGTCGTGGCCGCGCGGACCTCGACCGGCCTCGCTCCTTGTGCTGGACTCGTACAAGGGGCACTTGAATTCGACAGTGCGGGCTACCTTCTCCCTTTTCAAGGGCTTCCCCGCAGTTATCCCCGGCGGCTGCACAACCTACGTGCAGCCATTAGACGTCAGCATCAACAAGAGCTTTAAAGCGGGGGTTCGTTCACAGTACACCAAGTGGTTTGCCGAGGAGGGCATCAACTCTACCACGAAGGCCGGTACGTATTGTTTTGTGCCCCTCCTACCATGTGCGCTTGTTCCATGCTGGCTCACTTCCTGAACTCTACTACCATAACCTGCGTGTTTATGTTGTGCCTTTCAGGAAATCTAAAGAAACCGCCTCCGAAAGTCGTCCTGAAGTGGATCTCCCGTGCCTGGGCGACCGTCCCTGAGTCGGTCATCACCAAGGCATTCAAGACCTGTGGCATATCGAATGCCACAGATGGGAGCGAGGATCATCTGATCCTCGCTCACATGCGGGACGGCAATGAAGTGGAGGTGCTGGAGGAGGTTGTTCCTGAAGACTCCCCAAACCCCCCTGAGCCGACCGCCGCTGTGCCTGCCTCGGATCCTCGCAGCATTCCAGAGGTGGTCTCGGAGCCTCGGGACGAGGATGCCTGCTCGGAGGATTTCTCAGGATGCGACTCCGATGAGGAGAGTAGTGGTGAGGCCGAGGTGGAGGGAGAGGAAGAGGACGAGGAGGAGCTGCCTTGGGAGGATGAACTGTAGGACCCTGGCACCAAGCAGGGAGGCTGTGGAGGAAGATTCGGCATAGGGGATGCAGTAGACTGCTGGGTGCATTGGTGGCTGAGCAGGGTTTAGGGTTTAGGGCATGAATGCATCCTGTTGTAGTTGGAAAATCAAGCTTGAAGTTGACTATGGGCAAAAACAAAACATAGGCAAAACTAACAGGGGGGGTGCTCTCCTGGAACCCTCAAAAAGGGGTTGTATAATTGCGGATTCTTCAATAGTATACCCTCCCTGGATATAATACCAGGGGGTGCTCAATTCCGGCGGGTGTTATATCCGGGGGATTACGGTATTGGCGTTGAAGATCTGTTTCCTTGTGATGATGCCAAGGAGCAAGTGAGACGTTCTTTTTACTGTGGCCAGATACCTTGACAGGTTAAAACCATAAACTGAAACGCCGTCTTTAATTTCTTCGATGCCGACTAAATTACTTTTGTCTTCCTTCTTGTCACCCAGGTACAACCCCGTACGCATCGTGTTGGCGGTGTTGACGAAAGAGATGCCGCTTTCCATCAGTTGCGCTTGTGATAGCAAGTTGAAGCCGAGTCTCGTGGCGACAAGAACATTGTTAAGGTGAAGTGAGACATCTGTGTCGTCGGACTCGAGTATCACGTCTCCAATTCTGGTTGGTTCAATAACCTGATTGTTGGAAACCGTGATGTTGTATTTCTCTCCTTGTGGCAGGTCTCGCCAACTGAGGAGATAGCGACTTGAAGATACCATGTGGTGACCACAACAGCTGTAAAAAAACCAAGTATTAACATACTCGGGATACGTACGCTTGGCGATATGGGCGTACGGTTGCACGTTCAACCGTCGAGGAAACCCGTTCGGCTGCTCTGGTTCTTCTTCGTTAACGACTGCTTGTTCTGGAGTTTCTGAACGAGCGCGAATACGTGGAGGAAGGTTAGCTGGTCCTTCTTCCCTGTCACTGTCGCTGTCATTGTCTCGTCGGCTCCAGTAGCGTATACCACTAGACCAGTGTGGTCCTATCATGCAATGAATGATTGTTTTGAATTTTGCAGATTGAGTTGACGATGCTGAAAGCGGCTAGATAGTCTTGACAGGGGCGGCTCCATCCGACTTCTCCCAATTCCTTTTCTATTGTTTCTGACACTCTTCAATACAGTATTATGACCTGCTCGTTTAATAAACTTGCAGAAGCTCTTGTCTGCTCCTATTGATTTGATGCACCTCTTCTCTACTCCCCTTGACTTGGTCCATCTGTATAGAAGCTTAACCCACTCGTGGCTTTGCCTCCTTTTGTGTTGTACAGGTCCAAGTCCTGCTGCTCTGCCATCAAATTTGTGAAGAGAAGTTTCTGAGATGTTTCCTTGGAAACGAAGAAGGGACTTGCACTACCTCCATTCGGGTCCAAGTCCAGCGAGAAGAATAGTGATAAAGAGCTTGCTGCTGAGATTTCCTCCGCACTTGCTGAGCTGATCCCGAAGAGTTCTGCACCTGTTGATGTAGCTGCCGGCTTTTTCTCTCGGAAGCATTTGCATTGCTGTAAGTTGAATTAAAAACTTGCTCTGTGTGACGGAATCTTATGCTTGATATAACTTTCGCAGGTAGTCCTAGGCATAAAAGGCTAGAGCGAGTGAAGGTTTGAAGCACTGAACTCCCAACTGTTCTTCAGGTGAGAGATTCCGCACCAGTAGTGTATAGTCCATAAGCGAATACTTGTAATAACACCCGTGTTCTTCGATCGATTCTGTCTCTGGATAACGGGTCGTACCGTCAAAATTGTTGTGATAAAATCGTATTTAAGCATTTCTGTATGTAGTTCCGATAGATATTGTCAAGTTATACAGTAGTTAGCATCCGTAGAATGACGCCAGCAAATTGCGCTCGACTGGATGATTACGTGAGCAGGCCGTTTCAGTCATGCGAATAGTCGCGTTCTTT